GGAGTACTACTCAGCCATAAAAAATGAGAAATTAGAGACATTTATAGCTAAATGGATGCACATTGAGGTGATATTCTTAAGTGAAATAACTAGGACAGATGTGTGTAAATACCAAATGGTTTCTCTGGTGTGAAAAACTGAGTGTAAATAAGGACCAAAGGTATAATAGGTAATGTGAAATAGGAAGAAAAGGTCCAAAGGGGAAGGTGAAGAGAAGGGGGGAGGGGTTAGGGAAAGGAAAGAAAGGAATGGAATTAATATGAGAAAAGGGAAAAATGGAAACAGTCTTCGTAAATGGAAAGGGGTGAAAGGGTTGAAGGGGGTGTGGGGAATGGGGAAAATATAAGAACCAAGATATATTATGTAAAGGTACAAATTTCCAATCATGAATGTCATTATATTGTATACCTAAATGTACCAATAAAATTAATGTTTAAAAAGACATTCCTACTATGTAAAACGTGGCATACATGTTTGCTTTGACTGAATATGTATTTACTGACACATCAGATAAGTCTGTTTGTGGTCATTATCACCATTTCCTAAACTTGTAAAAAGTCTGAGGCTAGTCTTTATTTTTTTGCCAGTGATATAAATCTCTGTAAAACTGTTAAAGGCAGTGCCATTCTGATAATTTAAAGTATTAGATACTAGTCACCTGGGGAATATATCTGTAAGCAAAGGAGAGCCAATAATGTTGTCAGTCATGATCATTATCTTAAAATGTTGCACAAAATAAAATAACAAATGTCTCATCAATTGCTGAATTCTTAACAAAATTCTAGCTACGGCTGTTTCAAGTCTTCTGCATCCACAGGTCTGATTCTTCTCTGAAGCATTCACAGATTCATGGAAAAGACTCTAACAAGTACTGCAGATAATTTTTTCTTTGGTTATCTATGCTAAAAATTAGGATAACAGAGTGAAGCTCAGCGGGTCCCAGCACCCGGAAGGAAGCTCCCCCGCTGCCGTCCCAGGCTCCTAGGGCAGAGAAGCTTAGCCAGTCCCAGCACCCAGAAGGAAGCTCCCCCGCTGCCATCCCAAGCTCCTAGGGCAGAGAAGGTGAGCCACACGGGAGCCAGAAGCACCCCCCTCCCCCGTGGAAATGAGAAGACACATAAACAAGCCTCAAAAACAGACTTCCAGATCACCTGCAGCAACCCCAAAGGGAAACGAGATGGA